CTATAATGGCCGGGCGGCCACTTGCAAAATGCTTCAGACGGAAATTTTCCGATAGCTTGCCCAGGTCTCCCTAAATTTGTCAACAATTTTTCACATATAATATATGCATGAAATGAATTATGAATGTGTAGGCTGCCGGCACCGTGACGTCTGACGATGAGTGCCTTCAAATTTTTACAAAAACGTAATGCAATGACATACTGATTATTATTGTATATTTTCGGTATATATTTCAGTTGTTCCGAATTTCTTTCCTATTCTTTCTTCTTCCTTTATTCTTTCATATTTTATGTTATTTTATTCATAATTACAACAGATTACTTACACATACATTTATTAAGTTTTTAAATATAATTGTTTACGTTTATGGGCTAGGCTCTGTATACTTGTTCTATAATTTACATAACTCAATCTTTGTTCAGTTTAAAGTCAGAGATATGTCCTGGTCTTGACCACCCTAGATTCACTCTCAGATAGTTTTATCTTCATTTGACTTCTATGAATGGATGCCTTGTTCGAAGCAAGAAATCAAGTTGTCTTTACCCAGTACCGTGTATTTATCGGTGGGAAATCTCCCCTATATATATATATATATATATATTCATTATTGGTAACCCCTGCACATTGTTGAAAAATATTATCTCAGATTGTTTGTCGCCCTCTACAATATGTAATTTTTTTTGTTACCTTCAAACCTCCCATAAATTTACAACACCCCAAATTATGACACACTTCATTTTATGACCAAACTCTGATTGATTGCTCCATTTATATATTTTTTGAAAGTATACCCTTTTAGAATTCACAGAATGTTAGGCCCACTGTATGTCAAATAAATCATAATCACCATTATAAACTCAAACTACAACAAATCTAGATTTACTGTTGTGTATTTTTGGCTTTACATGTTCGTTGACAGTCTGAAGTAAGACGAGGTAAACATAAGTTCAACATCGCATGCATCACAGGTTGTTAAATTTATAGAAAAGAATGCTTAATATAGCTTTTTTATCTGTTGAAATTTGTATATATTTTGAGATAATGTTGCTGATATCTACATTCTTCTTCTAGGCCTTGTTCAGCTTATTCTAACCATGGGCCTTGCTACCTTGTACCTCCTCCTGTTATCATTTTTTTTAGCATTTGTGTATATTTTTTCAATGAATATCAGTTCTTTATTCATGTAGGTTTTGGCATTTTTGAAGTGCATATTTCAGTTTCAATATACACCATTTTCACTAAATTTGAAATGAAAATTTCCAAGAACCTGGCAACTCCACTGGGGGAAATCCAGAGGCCTTAATGTAGTTAACTGTGTTTAACTGTGCCCTGTGACTGGTGCATGATCTTATTGTTGAAGAGAGGCCTAGGCTATTTTTTTAAAACAAAATGCCAAAACATAAAAAGAGAAAATAGGGGTGCATAAAACCTGCAATGTTTTTGGTTGTCAAAGTACTCAAAAGAAAATGTGTCCGGAAATATGAAATTTGCTCAAGCTAGGCTGCTGGATGGTCTTCAGTAAAAACTTGTAAGATGTTGGTGGTGCTGTTTCAAAATAGACCTGATAAAATGGTGTCATATAGATGTGGGAAATTTAAATACTCCTAACTAAAATACTTAATAGTAGATTGACCTTACATGCAATGCGAAAGATCCAGCCAGTACATGCGTGTGGTAAACATATTTTTAGTTTCAATATGTTCAAAGACAAGCCAAACCAGTCACTCGTCGCAAATCCTGTTTTGGAGATAATGGCCAAAACATGATGGAATGTCAAAATTTTGGAAATCTATTTTATTGCGCTAAACTAACCTTTATATATCTATACATCATGCTATGCTGTTATTTTCCTCATTTTCAATGTTAAAACAACAATTTTTAACGATTTGGTGATAGTTTCTGCCTAAGAAATGCCTAAAATTGTAAACTTTAAAGGCTGATTTCTCAAATATTGTTCTTTAAACAGCTGTATGTTTAAACTCGTGTAACTTCATAACGAAGTGTCAGATTTAAATGATACCATTTTATAGCTCTCATTTTACTGTTAAACCCTGTATTAATAACTAAACATTGATTTTTCCGATGAGTGACTGGTTGGCTTGTCTTTACCACATATGTTTTCATAGTGATCAAGGGCCTTCACATATTGGCACCCACATCAATCCTGAGAAAAACATCATAAAACAGTATAAATAAATAGACAAATTTAATAACCATTTTAATATACATTTTAATTTGTGATACCAGCTGTCTAAAATAGCAGAGTTTGTACTTTTTAATGACATAGTCCATATTATGTATTCGTTTTATTATTTACAATTATATCATAATGTTGGTTTTTGGACTTGAGAGAAATAATAAAATTTTCTGTTAAATTTGGAGTCATAAACATTAAATTTTAAAAAGCAGCATTTAGTGATTTAAATATCTCCCGCATTTTGAGTTTTTGTTTATAGTTTCATTATTACCTGTCTTCATTATTTAAGTAAATATTTTGTTTTATTTGTGTCAGAATCTTCAGAATTCTAAACCATTAGATTCTAAAAGTACACAACCTTTAAAATCATAAATTTTCTAGGCTTAGAAGCGTGTGGCACAGTGTGTAAGCCCTAGGGCTTTTAAGCGGATGGTCGGGGGTTTCCAGACCAAATGCTCATCACACTGCTTGTGTCCTTGGGCAAGACACTTTATCTCCATTTGCCTCTCTTCAGTATAAATGGGTACCTCGTAGGAAAAAATTGATTTTAAATAAAATTTAATAATGCTGATCAGTGTTGTAGCTAGCAGGAATTGAGTGCCGGCTATTACGACATAGGGGCCTTGGGGTGCAAGGGTAACGCCCCATTGGGGGTCAAAGCCGCCCCATTGGGGGTCAAAGCCCCCCCATTGAAACTGAAAGGTTTTAGCTGTTTTATAATTTGGAGAGCTCTCCCACCTCCTACCATATTTTTACATACCATTTTACAAACCACCGGCTTGGCGATCCTACTGGACGTCACATACCATGTGCATTTTCGCGACCTCATTGTTTTGTTATTGTTTTGAAACGTGGTTGTACAGCAGCAGAGCCATATTGCATTTAAATGTATCATGAAAATAATTATTGAAACAAACATTGATTGAATGCTGTAAAAATATAGTAGGCCTAATACTAGTATCATTTTGTCGTGTTATCCAAAGCAAGGTAACTGGGGTAGGTTAATTAGGGCTAGCCTAGCTATTACTAGTAGTAGTCAGAGAGAGACAGCTGGCAGGCTGCAGGTACGCCGCGTAGTGTTTGCTGCCGTTCGTGATTTTGGGAATTGTAAGAATAGGTTGATAACCGGAGTAAAGTAGGCCGAATTTCGAATCCAAATTTTCGACTTTCCACATCAGAATATATGGTATAATATGTGAGTGACATATTTAACTGATATTTTAATTAAATTTTACACACATTTTGTGCCGGTCAGATTTTTAAAATTTGCTCTCAGTTATGGTTACTAAATGCTAGTGCCGGTATTACCAGGCCGGCGCCGACTAGCGTAGCTGCAACGCTGCTGCCGATTACACTCACATCTAGGAATACTCCCCAAGAAGTGGAGGAGGTTGCATGTTGTGTATGATAGATTCTTTATCCAATGACCAAAGAAAAAGTGCATTGAGCAGTTTTCTGAATATGTGCGCTATATAAGTCATATCAAATAAAGAAATAAAATACTTCTGTTTTTGTATATTTTTTAGTAAGCCGTTTGTAATGAGGTACAGATAAAAACAACTAATTTTTCACTGATTTACACACCTTTTTTTTTTACTTGAAAATCCTTTACCAGCAATTCAAAAGGTGAATATTCCAAGGAACATGGGATAGTAACAAATTGAATTGACCTTTCTGGCGTGTCAATCAAACTTAACTGACCCAATGTCAACGGGGCCAGGAATATGCACTTGCCTAACAAGCACATGTGTTGTGTTGTCTTGTACGTTGTTTTGTGGGGCCTTAGCAACAATATCCAAGGGGCGGGGCTTAGTGGAAGAGTCCATTTTGATAGCAGACATGATTAAGGATTTCTTCTTTTTTTTTTTTTCTTTAAAGGTCGAAATGAATGGGAGATTAGATCCAGCCAATTCCACATGGGTCAACATCTCAGATTGCGGTGGGATGATCCTGGAAGAACAACCGTCCAAACTCGCAGAGTCTTTTCGTTACTACCTGCAAGGATTAGGATATGGTATGTATGTTTTTTATAATATTATAATAACTAATTTATGTGTATGAAAAAGCTTTTATACTCGGTGAGTGTTTTTCTACAGGGCCATAACTGATATATAAACAATGCAAAAATATGTCAAATTTATGCAAAAATAAAAGTACATAAATAATATTTAAACTGAAGCAACTTAGCTATTAACGAAATGTGTAAAGAAACTAATAATTGATTGTGTTCATATTTGCTGCATTTTATTCATAAATTAAAGTGCTGTATGCAAAGCAAAGATCTGAATTAACTTGACTATATATAAATTGTTTATAAAAACTGGTTTATTATTATTTTTTGGTTCAAAACTATTCCATAATTGGTCAGGATGAAACGAAAAACTGTTTTACTCTGTTTTGGGTTTCGTCAAGTGCAAGAGATTTGTTGATATTGTATTCTACTTATCTTCTTAAAACATAAATCGTTTGTTCAAGTAAAGTGGACGTGCCATGCTATGGAATATCAAATCTCAATTTGAAATGTTAACACAGCTATAAAATACGCATCTCATGTTTAGGCTTCATGTAACATTTGCAAAGTTCATTCAGATTAAAGTAGCTTGTTTTTTTCTTCATTCATTTTGACAGAGACATATAGTTAGCATACACAGTACCCTGGAATATCTGAAGAAAGATAAAGTGATCTTTGCTAGCCTGCCTTAAGCCAAGCATGATCCATTATCTGATGTGTTCTGTCAGATACAATAGTTGTTTGCTTAAAACCTGTCCACACTATCAAATTTTATTTGACAAAAAGCTGTTGTATGCCCATATGTATATTGTCATGGTGTGCCTATATATGGTCAAGATGTGATGTCATCATGTCCATATATAGGTGTGGAGTTGAATAACTTAGTGGTAAAGATGCTTGCCTTCTAATCCCAGGGTCCTGGGTTCAATTCAATATATATATATATATATATATATACTGTCTCTTATACACATCTAGATGACAGAGCTTAAGGAAAGCATATAATATCAGATTATCAATATTGTCTGTTCAGACTGGCAAACAAACACTTTATAGCGTTTACCTAGATTATGTTTCCCAGAATTACGGTATCTTATGATCAGTCGTCATTTTACTGTCTCTTCTTTGCGTTTTGTGACATTTTCCTAATGGCGTGTATCATCTATTTCTTGTGCAACATATGTCATCTATTTTTGTACATAAATTGCTTTAGCATCTGTTTACATTATGGACATACACGTGACATTTTCATCATGGTTTCTATGCATATTTGAATATATGTCCATAGATATTTTTCACCCTCTCTCCCAAGATAAAAACACTTTTTTCCTGTACATATATTGTAACATGTTTCCTCTGAATTCATAACACATTCTTATAAGCTGTGAAAATCCTTCAAGATCACTATGACATTGATCGACTCATTGGAGTTGATCTCTGAGGCATGGTGAATGCGGTGCTAACTTTGGAGGTCGTTGACATGTTTCCATAGCAACTGATCTGCATTGAAGCCTACCATACAATCTGAATTATACGCGAAATGACGTTTCGCGCATAAGGGCCATGTGTTTCTGTATCTGATTAATTTTATATATTTATAAATTTATATATTGATATAATATCTTTATAAATATTTATTTTTTTATAAATTTATATATTATATATTTTTGTATATTTATATTATTTTGATATATTTGTTAATTTATATATTGATATATTTGTATATATTTATATTTTATATATTTATATATATTTATATATTTCTATAATTATATATTTATATATTTTATATATTTATGTAATTCTGAACAAATAAAATCTGCTCTCGCACTGAATTTTTCATGTAAAACACATTTGTAAGCTGTAATTCACCATAATATCCTGAAATGAACTTAAGGGAACCATGTTCAATTCAAGAAGAGTTATTTATGGAAATATATACAGTATTTGGCATCATGTATTCTCCAAAGGGATAAAATCATACTCAGAAACCAAATAATTTAAACTATTAACCGCTATGTGACCTCACGGTTGGTAAAAAGTTAAATTTAAGAATTATAATATATATTGAAAGATATGAAATTTTATATATTTTTTTTTTTTTTTGTGTATAGCTAATGAAATCCTTTAATTACAGCACACAAGGTCCAACTGAAATCTCTAAATTGCCAGAGGTAGCAACAACAAAATTGACTTTGATATCAACAATGGTATTGCATTCAGATCTTTAATATCTTCAGTTGAATAATCTGATTGTAACAGCATGATGAGTTAAGAATGTGTTTAACCGTGTTTTCTAATTTCATATCTGATTAAAAAAGTGTAGTGATTAGAATACTAATTACCTGTTCTTGATTGATTGATTGATTTGAATGTTCAATCAATAATTAATATAATAGATACTTTTATAACAATATGTTGATGACAATATATGTCATCAATTATTTAGAATTATAATAGTAAAATTTGAGTATGATAAATTTTACACAAACACAAATCCAATACTAGGACGTGACTACCAATTTAAAAATTACAATAAGAATACAAAACATAATTGTGCAAAATGTTAGAATACTGTATTAAGAAAGTCTGAGCCATTTTGCACGTCTTCGGCGTGATGTACACAGGATAACCTACGAAAGTCATGAGACTTATTTCCAGTGGGGTCCTTCTTTTGGTGAATTGGACAGTACACCGGGAGACAATTCCCTACTTTTTTTCGAAGAGAGTACTGCATTTGTTGACGCGCACATGGGCCATTTTGCGCACAGGTGTAATGGCTTAAATATCTCATCCGAAAAATGATGCCCTCCTGCTGAAACACAAAGAGAGCAGCGATGGGAATTGAACCGTGGACCGTCCACGGTTTAGCGCACTCACAGTGGCTACAACAACTAGCTGCAACTGATCTAGCTGCTCCCTGGAAGCTACATGGTCGTAGTAGATGAATTTTCATTTATTTTCTCTTTATTTCAGGCTTCCTATGCATATATACACACATGAATGTTAAACTGTAGATAAAATTAGTAACAGGTGACCATGTAGATGCCAGCCAGATTGACTGCACGCTGATCAGATCAAGTTTATACCATTTTCTCAGGCCCTATGTATAGTATAAATTTAATAGGCTCGCCATGATTGCATTGCTGTTTATTGCCAGTTTTAGACCTTGTACTTGCTTTTTTAAAGGCCAAAAACAGAAATCAATGATTAAACTGTATAACCGATTCCTTCATGTCCATGCTACGTTACGAAAATGAAGCATTAGCAAGGAAATAAAGAATCCATGTAACTAAGCACTCGATATCACAGATGCATTATTTAATTAAAGCGTTGGAAATTACACTATGCTTTACATCCAATTATTAGAATGCCATTATTTTATTATGTCTAAATTCAAATGCCAATGGAAAAAATAAATGGCCTGATAAGTTTGCATACTCAGGCAAAACATGCTGATGGATTTAAATGGCATTCAGATTTGTATATTTTTTTTTAATTATTTGTTGTGGCGAAACATGCAAATTAAAAATGGTGCTTTCGTGTCTTCTGAGGCACCACGGAGTGGTGAGATAGGTTATGGCCAACTGTCGCCACAAGCACGCCACACCAAATTTCAGAAGTTATAATACATAGTAAGGTAAATGGGTTTTGTATTTGTTTAGAATCTTAATTATGTTTGGATTATTATATAGTTGAATGGCTGTTATATGTTATTTTAATTATTATAATACTGTAATAATAATGTTAGATTTATATAGCAACCAACAAGGCCTATAAGCACTTTACATTATTACCACCAGTCATTATATGGAACACATACTCATTTGTTCAGCTGTAATCAGCGCATTTTGTGCTTGAACCTACCAGGTTGTACTCCTGGGTGGATGCTTAAGAGCACAAGCGAAATACACAGCAAGGGATTGAACCTCTGACCTCAAGATTGAGAAACAAAACTGCAACCGCTGTGCCAAACCGCTCCTACAAAGCTGTTATATTCTATTATATATTCTATTATATATTATTGTTCATCTTATTTGTATTTTATATACTTTTTGTATTTATCTATTATTTATCTTATTTTATTTCTACTAAAAATATTAATTAAATATCAACATATTGGTTTGTATTATAGGTATTGCTGCATACGATATTTGATAAACTTTTTGGAGTATATAATATGTTATTGTTTTTTATGTATCTTTCCTTCGAAGCGAACATCCCTTGGCAATTTGAAAATGATAGGTTTTATTGCGTAGATGCAAGTAATACGTTCATATGTTAGGAATGAGAGGAACATATAGACTGCAGTAAAGTTAAAAGAAAATCATTGATAACATCATTTTTTACAAGAATGCTAGATGCTTAAGAATACTGTTACTTGCATATATATGTTCTATTTGCAAAACCTTTGATGTCCTTTGCTAAGCATTATTGAGACTAAAATGATTGTCTTTCATTGAGACAAATGTCATGTTACAGAATCCATCCTCTTAATAAAAATAATTCCAAATCATCGGAGAAGAATTATATGCGTATTAGTTACCATGGCAATGATAAGTAACATTGATTGATCGCCATTTCAAAGGAAATTTCTAAGATTACTAATTTTTTTCAGTATTTAAATAATTATTTGAATAAGACTTGAAAATGCTTCATCAGAGATTCTCGGGAGCAAATGTTGAACTTGTGGATTTTTGGTCCAAAAATGTCACAAACTAAAGCAGTGTCCACACTATGAAATTTTAATTTAATGACAAATTTTTGTGCTGTGCTCATATATGGGCATGATGATGTCATATTACAACCAAATATGGGCATATCACAGTTATTTGTCACATACCATAGTGTGGACAAAGTTATTTTTATGCAGTACTGTACTTTGATTGGGTTTTTTTTTTTTTTTTGTCAAATTTAAACAGTTTCTCAATCAGTTGAATTGTATGTTTGAGTTTATGATTACAATTAATTTTTTAATTTACCCTTCATTGCTACGATTCTTTTTAACATTTACTGACATCAGGAGTTTGTAAGTTTCTTCTGTGTCCTTCATTCTTCACTGTGATTTTTGTCTGCTTGCATAAAGAATGTGGCTTTAATTATGTGTAGTCCTACATTTTTTTTTTTTATTATCATGCACCGTCTGTGTTAAGCTAAAACCTTAAGCAATAAAACTTAATATGTGAAATGCTTACTTCTGAATATTTCAAGTAAATTAATAGCAATACATTGAATATGAAAACAAGAAAATATTTTCTAGCCAATTAATTGTCAGCTTTGCATAGGTCCTTAAAGCTATGACAGTGGCTGATCCAGGAATTCAAAATAGAGGGGGGCCCAGGGAAGGACTTTTACAAATGGAGAATCTAGACTACCTCAGCCCCACCATGGGTGGTGCTGAGGTAAGAAAATTTATGAATATGGCATCTATAGATTTCCGGAAATGGCGCTCTCAGACCTAAATTTGATTTTTTTTTTTTTTTTTTTTTTAATTTTCTTTTTTAAATTTTAAACAATTTAGGGGGCCTGGACCGGCTTGGCCCCTTGAATCAACCACTGTATGAATTGGAGGGTAAAAAATTTAAGAATTTTGGTTTTAAATTACAGTTAATACTCATTAAATTTTATTGTTTTGATTTGTGTTGTATTGGCAGCTTATAAATTATTTTAAGGTGATTAGAAGATGAAGAGTAATTAAGGATTAATATTGAGTCTAACATAACACATGAGCATGTTAAAGTCACCAAGGTGTTAGTCTATGTTTAGTGGCTGTTTGTTGCATATTGTGTATGTGATTATGTGTGCATGGCAGGATGTAGATGGTGTTGAATAATTGCATGAATTACATGCTTTAAAAATAATGTATTGTACTAACTGTACAATTTTAATTTAATCACAGATATATTTCAATGAAATTAATGAGGATTCTTTTAATTGGTCTACAATCTTGTGTGTTTTAGTAATTTAATTAGTTGGTGTTTTGATTCCAGTTTTTTTTTAAACTCATTCCATACAAATAAAATAAACAAAATTTCTTGGTTTTGTTATATTATTTATCTTTTAGGGTAATTAATTTACTTAACAATGAAATTGTGTTTAACCAAATTTTAAACATTAATTAATTTATTTTTTATTTTATTCCTTTGCATATTTCATATAGTATAATTATTATAATTATTTTATACCTCATTTTTTTTAGTAGAGATTAATATCAATTAATCATCTTTTAAACAAGTGTCATATGGGGAAGTTATTTATAAGTACTAGTTACCCTAGTAACCACAGCTTGGTTTCATAGTGTATTAAAATAGACAGAAAGTCTATAAGGAACATTAATGTGGTGTCAGGATAAACAGAATTTAAATTCTTAACTGGATAGATAAACTGTGTTTGTGTGTTTATCAAATTAGTACCCAACATCACTTTTCATTCGTGTAAATTAAGAAATTTGCATTTTTGTTCATTTTCATATATATTTGCCTGAATGGAATATAAATCTACAACTTGTTATTAAGTCCATTTTTTGAAACACATTATGAATACGAATGTGATTTAATGTTACATAAACGGAATCTGAATTTGAATTCCTAACTGTGTTTTTGTGTGTATCCATTTAGTACCAAACATCACTATTCATTTGTGGAAATTAAGAAATTTGCATTTTGTTCATATTCTACATTATTGATAAAAAGTTAGTAAGGAATTTCTATAGCTTATAAATTTCAATCCACGTAATGTCGATTTCCAGCTTGTCATCCTACAAGAGGAATAGTTATTTTAGGAATTGTTAATTGATGAGAATGATGAGGAAGTTTTATTTCTTTTGTAACCTGTTGTTATATTAGTATAGCAAAATTAATTAATTATTTACTAATTATTGCTCGTTATCAGCATGTATATTTGTTGTAATGCTAATGAGTTATGTCAATGTTGTATTTTAACCTTAGAGTTGTATTATTATTTTTATTATTATTATTATTATTATTATTATTATTATTATTATTATTATTATTATTATTAATTTTCATCTTCATTATTATTAGAATCGTCATTAGCATCGTCAATAGAATTATATTCATCACCATCATCGTCTTTATTATTACCATCACAATAATAAGCATCATAATTATCATTACTATAATACAACATTATCATCAATAGAATTATCATATTCATCACCATCATCTTTATTATTACCATCACAATAATAAGCATCATCATTATCATTACTATAATGCATCATTACCACCATTCTCATCAGTATTGCCATCTGCATAATACTATCATTACTATCATTGTTATTATCAATTCAGTACCAGCATCATTGTTATTACATTACATCATCACCACTACCATCAATATATGCCTAATCATAATTATCATCATCACCAACATCATCATCATCATCATCATCATCATCATCATCATCATCATCATCATCATCATCATCATCATAATCATCACCACCACCACTACTACCATAATATCCAAAAACATATGTTGTCTTGACTAAGCTCAAACTTTATTAGAAATGTTAACATTTATTATTCTATCTCCCAACAGCTGTAAATTTGAAAGTGCTAGCACCAGCCAAAGCCCACGAGCAACCTGATACCTTCCGAGTGAAGAAGGGTCACCCTTCGCCTGTAATGCTCTAAAAACGCAACTGTAACGGGTCCCTTGATTGGTCTCCTGCCAGTAAGGAACATCCTGATTAGTCAACTTTAAAATGCAAAATTACTGCCGAATATAATATATGAATAGGCCTATTATGGAACATTATTTTTCCATGATTAATTTTCTTGGTTAGAAAATGTTTAAAATGTAATGTAGAGATATATGCACAGTTTTAAACAAGTACACCCGCGAGCACCACCGAAACATTAATGGAGCGATATAAAATCTTAATTTCGGTCTCAAGTGAGCCATGTAGGAATAAAATAAATTTATGTTTATTTTATTCCTTTATGATTGAGCTAAACCAAACCTGAAAAATATAATACAATATTGTTATTGCTTATGTTGTATACTTAATTCAGATATTAGCTTCCAAATACAAATTAGAATGACAAAAATATTCTCCACACCAATGAACCTTTCCGGAGTGTCAGTCACACTTACAAATTGACCAATCAGATCATCGCTAAGAATACGCTCATATCACATGAACATGCATGTCCCACAAACACACATGTCCCACAAACACGCATGTCCCACAAACACACGTGTTCACGTACGTAGTGGAAAGGTCCATTATAAGACGCACAAATAATATTGCCCCAATCTTCTATGCATAGAACCTAACAAAAGATAATTTGTAGTAACATTATAAATTAGCAAATATGTAAATTGTTGAAAAAAACTTACTTGTTCGATTTGAATAATTAATTGGATATTTATTTTTTTATTTTTATTTTTCACTTTTCTACCACACACAGTGTATATTTTTAAAAGATAAATAGGCCTAGTAGACATCATAATGTATACATTTAATTATATACATGTATCACATATCTTGATCTTGGTGATTATACAATATAATCATGACTAAAAAAAGGTAATTTTTTTAATTAATAAATAACTGTATTTTTATTATTTTTTAGATGTTCTTTCTAATCGACGCTAATAAAATATTCGTAATGTATATTACTTCTGGCCAGTAAAATAATTGCTTCACATGGTTCGCTTAGTGGTAAATTTAAGAGGTTTAAATGATAGATGTCTGGTATGAAGTAGAATTGTGTTTGGCATTTAGTTTTCAATACCTAGAACCTGAAACATGTTTTTTTTTATACTAGTTTACTGGTTCGATTCCAATATAGGCCTATGTTCGATTTTGCTTTGCTGCAATTCATTGAAATTTGATGCGCTGTTTACGCCAACATTGTTTACATTACGAATTCTTAACATATGCCTTTATGTTGTGTTTACTTATCGTCGTTATTTTTATTTCATAAAACCTAACAAACACTGCTAACCCCAGCGTATATTCTGTTCTCCATTGAAAATTATTTTTTTAAATGCACATCCACCGTAGAACACAACAGAGATTAAAGATGAGGCCTACGTAAATATTTTTGTATCCCGCTTTCGTTTTACTAATAATTGGATTTCAAGAATAACATTTGGCAGTGGAAATTTTAATCAATCATTATTGTAATATATTCGGTAACAAAATATATCGACTCTTGAGCAGAAAAAAACATTCTCCTCTTGGTCAGAACACAGGGAAGATATAGATTTTTTTCAGAAATTTTGAAGGTATCAATGATTAGTTTTTTGATAAATGAGAGTAGCATTCTGTCGTTTAGTTATTGAGTAAATAGAGGAGAATCTTGTTAAGCTTTTGAATGCGAATGCCCGATTATATTATCTTACATGAGTAGTATAAAGCTATTACGTATATGATTCTCCGTGATGTTGCGTAAGTCCGACTAAATCGGTGTTCGCCAGGTTGAAAGGTCATCAGAATGTGAATTTGTGGCATATGATTATGTTTCTGCCAAGTTCACCCAATAATTTTAAATATTATTTAATGATGTGTGTACTTAATTATACACTATATATTAGTATTTTAATGATGCATACAGAATTTTGTACAATACACCGAGTTTGTATACAAGTACAGTTATTATTGTTGTTATTTTTGATGATTATTATCATTATTATAAGTATAGCCCGTGATTTAACATAGAGCTACTGAACTGGTGTTTTGGCGACATAGTCCTTTAAATTAGCTGCCGGCCAGTTTTTTAATGTCGATAATAAATTGAATATTTTTGTCCTAATTTATGCCACAGAGAGTAAATATTGAGTACCGGTATCCGATCACAAAATTACCAACAATTTCTTGATTAAAATAAGTGAACACGAATCAAGATAAAGATTATATTTATCGGTATGGTTAAATATAATAGATTTATTTTGAAGTAAACCAAGATTGACGTTAACTTACGTAAGATTTCAATATGATTATAGAAAATATAATTTCCATGAAGATGTTATTAGCTACTGTATTTTAGTTGCACGTTTTGGACCTGATGTCAAATTGTCTAATACTTGTATAAAGAGATGTTTTCGCTTTCAAATAATGCAATATATAGCTACGTGTACAGATGCGTATATGAATTTACTGCTTACAAACAGATGGTCGTGATTGTGAAAAACAAATAAAATTTGAATGAAATAATTGAACCAATGTCGAATGAATCGTGAGTTTTATTTTTAAGCGAGACTTTTTATAGCTTGGTTTAGTGAACGAATCCCCTCTAATAATGATGATTTAATGATGATTTTTTTGTTAGTAAGCGCATCCTCCGCCACAAAAAAATGGTAATTTCAGAAAAAAAAACAAAAAAAAAACGTTTTATTTATTTTTATTTTGCCCGACGCTGCGTTGAAATCTCCCTAAATAAGATATCTATATTTCTTCCTTTAATTATATAAAATTGAAAGCATTGATCAATCCCATTATGGACTGATCTATATAATATATAATATTATACGCTGCTTACTTCACCAATCAAATTTTATTTTTATTTTCTCCTCCACTACCTATATGCTTTTGGAAAAACCGTTTGCTAAATAACAAAACAATTTTTCTTTTTTTTCTTTTTTTTTTTTTAATATAATTTCTTTTTCAAGCTCCTCTGACGATCTTTAAAGAAATATTTTTGCTTAAAGAAGGTATAAAAAAATTCCCACCTTATTTCAAGGAAATGTTTTATTTTCGTTTATGATACGTGATTTTCTGTAGCCGGGGAAAAAGATGTGTAGGGAAAATGAGATTACTTCACTTCACGTTCCCCATGGCATGTTTAAACGCCCTGTTGACTTTAAAGTTTGATAGCACTGTATTAATGCATTCTAATTCGTTAATACATACATGTATGAAACAAGGTAATAATAATATTAATATCATTGACTGCGTTAATTCAGTACAGAAAAAATCAACATCGAACACGGTAAGAATTGCAAGAATTTACTGCAACTTAAAAGTTATGCATTTGTAGCATGCAGTAGCAATAGCAGTAGTAGCAGCCGCAGCAGGTATGAAATATGCAGGCTTAGATTTTGATGTATTTTAAAACATAATTTCGAGTAGCATAGCTCAGTCGGCAAAACTGGTAGTAGCCATTTTGTGTGCGCTGAACCGTGGAGATCTCTAGGTCCCGGGGTCAATTCCCATCGCTGCTCTCGTGTTTACGATAACGCATCGTCTTACCGATGAGAGGTTTAAGTCGTTGGTCCCGTGTGCATTAGGCCTATGGCACGTGTGCACGTTAAAGAACACAGGACACTATTCGGAAAAGGTTCTCTCCCGGTGTACGGGTCAAACACCACCATAAGGACCCCACGGGAAATAAGTCTTCTTCAGACTTTCGTGGGTTATCCTTGGTGTTTACACCGAATAAATAAATCCATCCATCCATCCAAGACCTACCCGTTCAGTCGAATAATTTAAGTTCCTTTTCAATAGCCACTCAGTTTGATTAATTTCTTGACCAGCCATTATTGTGAATTTGAGTTTGCCTTGGCAATTTATGCCTTGTATATTTTATGTATAAAAATAAAATTGTTTCTCGTATGTCAAGCGGACATGGGTTTATCATGTCTCAACGCTATGAAGCCAAACAGACGTCGAAACAATTTGTGGGCGTAACTGGGGAATTTTTCCTCTGAAATCAGTTCTTAAATCTACTGTATCCTCTGTAAGATCATTTTTATATATTCCTCTTGACTATAGCATGACATTGAGACGTGCACTCTCGATAGATCGTATATTTTAGACGTAAATGAAACTAGAGCTAACGTCGATGAAATTCTGCACCAGTTCACCATTATAACTGCAATGTCTTCTGATAATTTTTCTTTCGCATTATTCATTAATGAAATGAAACTTAAGTGTACGTGAATTCTTGATAAATATAGACGTGCCTGAGCGTTAACTTATTCTGTTATGAATTTGCGCCATGATAGTGTGCTGTTTTGTTTTTCCTGTCATTCTACTAATAAACATCCAGAGATTTCCACTTTGTGATTGGCGAATGCAGCGCGTAACTCTTGTTAGCATATGACGCGCCCGCTGTAAACCTATGGAAATTATGACTATATAATAAGCATTGCTGTAACTGATCGATGTATGTTTCTAAGTTTAAGTGATTTTTATAGTGTGTTCTACACAGCAATAGTTATTTTGGGTTCGTTTCTTGAAAGTCCCAATAGTCACCAAGTATGTTTGGCGTCTACGCAGACACCAGCTGACAACATATAACCCACACCAACAGTCTTAAATACAGTCAACTGGGAGTGTCAAGCGACTCGCTAGACTAAAATGAAGGCCTACCATATAATAATGGGAATTTTAGGGGCCACGCTGGAAAAGTAATCGCGAATTAACCCATCTCTGACCTACAAAAAATAGCCATCGGATCGAACTGGTTTAATTTATTATTCAGTGATGCATTGCCGTATGTCTATTTTGTTTTGTATGTTTTTGTCTAGGCTTTATGAAATTGAATCCTCATTCACCATTTCTAACAACTGCAACTAACCCCCTTTTCATTTGCCTCCCCCCCCCCCCCACCCCCCCCCCCCCCACTCCCCCACCCACCCCCTCCCACACCCACACACATA